TTTGACTTCCTCTGGCAAGTTTTCATCCCCAGAAGTTCTATTTGGTTACTTTTCAAACATGCTTTGTCTTTTTATTTTTATTTCTTTGATAGCAGGCTATTCTTTTCTCATGTTTTAATATTTCTCCTTTTATGTCCTTACCTAATATTTCTACAATCTGAAGTTCTGGACTGTCGAATCCTACTGCTCCTTAGCTCACTCTGTGTTCAGGGCTGCTTCATTGTTTTTTACGTGGCTGTCTTGTGATCTGTTCCTCAGTAGAGATTGCATAGCCAGGGTAGGTGACCATTCATAGATGTTTTTCATTTGCTTTCCTGCAGAAGCATCGCACCTACTGCAGTACTTGGAAGCTCCTGCATAATGCAGGTAATGTAAATTTGAGATCTAAACCTTGCTGAGGGCAGATTCTTGTCTCTGAATACTCAGAGGAGTTTTTGTTTTTGATGCAGAAAGCCAAGACCAAGAATCTAACTTCTCATCACCTGTGCTGGTCAGCTAATTTTTTCCCCCTAGGTCAAACCTTTCACTGTGTTTAAAGCTTAGGAAGGATCAGCTTTCTGGGAGTTTTCAGTTCCAACTCCCCTCCTTGCCTAGATTCAAGGCTTTGTTCTTACATCTGTGGCTCTTAAAACTCAAGAGCCTTGGCAACAAACAAGGAAATCTAACATGACTTCAGTTTACAGTTCTGATTCCTTGGTTACCAGATTTGATTAGTGGCAATTGTCTTTACTTTTTTTGTGTACTTAACTGTGTATTTATAAGAACATTTGCTATATTCTAGATTTTCTAGGTGTGAGGAGGATTTTCAGATTCTCTGATTTACTATATTGCTGGAAATAAAATAATGTTTCAACATTTTTAATGAACCCATTTTTACTTATGCAATTAAAAATTAATAAAATATGCTAAATATATATCAGTGAAACAGAAATAGTCCTTCTTTGAATGTACCTTATTGAAGATGTAACTTTGACTTCATTCTCAAAGACTGAGAGGACCGGAACTCAGCAGGAGGGAAGGAAAACGATGGGATTATAACCAATTAGGGGAGGTCCCATGCCTGTTATCAACACCATCTTCTAACATTTTGGTGAGATTCTTTATTAAATGTTAACAACCATGTGATTATTAAATCATTGTCTTCCCATGGTGACGGGCTGGGGGACAGTTACACAGCTCCTCTTTTTAATATGTAGAGCAGTGGTTCTTAACTGGGGGCATTTTTGCACACACACACACACACACACACACACACACACACCCCGCCGCCATGGGCAGACATGAGGCAATATCTGAAAGTGTTTTCAGTTGTCACAACTTTGTGCATGCTACTCACACCTAGTGGGTAGAGACCAGGGATGCTGTTAAACATTTTGCAATACCCCAAACACTCCACCTCCCTAAAACAAAGATTTATCCAGACCAAAATTTCAATATTTCTGCTAATCAGAAACTCTGGTGAAAAGCAAAAGTTGCTTGCAGCTATTGCCACTTGTGTTACTATGGTGGATCTGTCTTCTGTCTTCTCTTTCTCTCATTCTCTGTGAATGTTAGGATTCCCTTTTTTTCCTCTGTACACCAACAGTCTTCACGTAAGGCTTGAGGACTGGCAGTCTGCCTCTGAGAAACATCGCCCCTTGTTGGAGTCCTTTGAGGATCTTCTCGGCAACATAGTATCTGAGCAGCCAAATGTAAAGGAGTCTCACTTCTGTTCTTTTTCTCAATTTTATAGACCAGGCAACTAGCCCTGGAGTCTGAACAGCCCTAACCCTGGCTGGCTCTTAGGCAATGCGGCAACCTTTCTTGATCTTGACTAGTCTTCCCAAAGTTTACTCCGTACCTTAATCTACATATCTGTACCTCTAATGACTGCTTTGCCTACCTCTATCCCTTACTAGGACCATGTCAAGCCAGCTGCTCACATCTCAACATGGTAAATAAAATGTGCCACTGGAGATAGCCTATACCAACATCACCAGGGTGGTCAAAAAAACTGCCAGTGGATGTTTTGATTTTAATCTCTTTGGTTAAACTATAACACACTGATCAAGATACCAAATGCTATGATATGCAGAGGAAGTGAAAAAAATTAAAATAACAATAAAGAAACACCCTAATTGCTGTAACACAAACAATGAATTCCAAATATTGACAATGGGAAACAGTACAGCAATATAAAAATAGTCCATTCTCAGAAGATTAGTTTTAAAAATCCAGTGATATCAGGAAAAAGGAAAAAAAGACTTTTATTCTTAGTCAAGTCAATTATACGCTCACAATATATTCACTATCTCGGCAAATGCAATTTCTAACATAAACCTATTTAGAAATAAGGCAGTTAAAATAGTTTCATTTTCATTGTCTTTGAAACTTTTTACCTTCAGGCTAATGTAGATTTTCTTAAAATAGGTATAATTGTTTTAATGATGCTGTTGAAAGAATTAGTAATTGGGCATTAAGAAAACCTGCATAATATAATGGTTAACAACATGACCCCTAGTGCCACACTGAGTTCAAAACTGAGCTTCAGCTTACCAGCTGTAACCTTGGTCAGTTCACTTACAAATAATAATACTCCTTGTGTACAGTTGTTATGAGGATTAAATTAATTTTTATTTAGAAATATATAGTCAGTCACACACCGCATAAAGACTTTTCACTCAACGACAGACTGCGTATACAAAGGTGGTAAACCATATAGCTTAGGTGTGCAGTAGGCTATACCATCTAGGTGTGTGTAAGTGCACTCTATGATGTTTGTACAATGATAATATTGCCTGACCAGGCATTTCTCAGATCGGATCCCAGTCCCTAAGGGATGCAGGACTGTACATGGTACATAGTCAATATCATGTATCTGTTAAGTAATTAGCAACATTTTAGAAACATAAAATAATAAACAACCAGGATTTCATGGATCAAAGGTCATGTTTTTCCTTCTCCCAGGCACAGGATCCTGTGCTTCCCAGTCTCAAGCATCTTTGAGTAAGTTAAATGTGCTAAGAACTAGGCCAATGTTATAATGTTGGCCCAAAATTTCCAACTAATGTATTACATTTCAATATCTCTACAAAAAACATTTTATCCTAAAAGAGAAATCAACTCCTAAAATGGCCAGGAGGAAAGAGAAAATAATAAATAACATCATAGAAATGTTGTGTCATTTACAGATGTACTTGAGTGGTTTTATAATCAGTACTGGCAGAAGTCAAATAAATAATGATATGACAATATGAAAACATTCTATTCATAAAGTGAGTTAAAAATATTAGTGATAGCAATGAGAAGAAAGCCAATGGTTCCTAACAATCACAAATACATCTTCACATTTAAATTCTACGTTTCAGTAAAGGCAGATTCTTAAACCAAACTTTTTGATGAGAAGGCAAGCAGAACAACGACTTACATGAAAATGCAACCATCTAGGTCACAGATAAAAGATCCGGTGTTACAAAATTAATGTCAAATCTCTCTTTTGTCAGCTAATAACAAACCTGGACTTCAATAAGGAAAAACTTCATTCAAAAATTATTGCATTAGAGAAAATGTTCCAGACCTTGGATCTGCAGGCATCACAAAATCAAACAGAAATAGGCCTTTCATAGGGAGGGGTCAGCAGGCTAGCAGGAACTCTTGAGAAGGAACTGGGCAAACTAGTGAGTGGAAGCAGACAGCATGATTGGGCTGTGGTCGGACTTGGGGCAAGTCGAAGTTCAGGGGCCTGGAAAGAAGAGAAGAGCCTGACTGAAGTTTGATCAGGCTGAGCCAAAGGTAAGGAAGCAGTGACAACTGTGCACCCCCAATCTCCTCAGAGCAGTAGGAGTACCGGTTTCAATAGCAGTCTTAGAATAAGAGAGCAGTGAGGAGATAAGCCCTCCAAACAGGTTCAGTAAGTAAATAACAGCTTGGCATACACTAAAAAGTTCATTTCTTGCTCTCGCCCTGGGCACCTGACCCTTTTTCCCCACCAGGCTCCAACTGTTCTGGGTGAATGAGGGTGTGTGCTGCTGCCAACATCACCAGGCTGGTCAAAGGATTTGCAAACTTCTGTTTTCACGTGAATCTCTCTTAAACGTTTCATCCTGACAGAGTAAAGCAACAACTGGCACATGCAAAAAAGTAAGAGAACAGGTAACAGCACAGGAGCGTTGTAATTAAATTTTACAAGTAAGAATAAATAAATTTCAAATACTAGAATGGGGACAAACAGGAGTGGCTCAATGTCACAAAAATGTTCTGCTGAGAAGCTCAATGCAAACATTCCCTTGGTATCAGATTGGGGAAGAAAAAGCACACCTTTTATTCATATTAAACAAATACAGAAACAGTTCCTCAGATAAGAGGGCAGTTAAAGACCTGGACATGTAGTTGCATAAAACTTGTTATTGACTTAATAACAGGTTTGAAATATGTTATGTGCTAATTAAACCTTTAATACTGTTAGTAAAGCTACTCTTAGTCTTTTAAAGAACTCTAAGATTACTTTTGAAACACAAATCCAAAACTGAGAAAAGAGAAAGCAGAGCTGAGTGTTATTTCAGAGTTCTTGTTTTTCTGCAGCACTGTCATTGACTTATTGACGGCATCTTTAATTTATCTGCCTGAAGGTCTTCCACTAGGTACATGAGTTCTCTCAATGCAGAGTGATTTGAATGGATGCTCCAGCAAGAACTGATAAAAAAAAAATAAGAGTATCTGCAATTCAAAATAAGCCCTCACCTCTTCCCAAGTGTCCCTTTGCTAGAGAGCCTTTCTTAGCCCTCCCATGTCTAGACTAGCTACCACCTCCCTGCACACCATCCTCAGGGCATTAGACTTTCACATTCTATGTTATGTAGTAGAAGGTACTATATATATTATATATATGCTAAAATTATACAAGGGACTGGTGTGTTTCTCCCAGACCATAAGCAGGGATTAGTACTTCATGAGTCAAAATGCAGTGGCTTGATAAAATAAAAACTTAGGTTGGTATTATATTATTTGAAATATACATTTACCAGTCAGTGATATGTTATGACTCTCCAAGGAAAGGTTAGAGTATTTCCCCAGCATTTCTTCTCGGACAGGTAGACTCGTAAAAGGTGAAACTGTAAGAAAGAGAACATGTGATTACATATTCTTATGAAGATTAAAGGACTATCCTATCTAAAAGCTAGTTTACGACAGCTAAAATGTTATTGTAGACTATTAATGAAAAATTAGGTTTTTGGAAGATCTAATTGACTAGGTCTTATATGCTGCACAGATATTCAGAAAGCTATTAGGTTATTAAATGAGACTAAATTTCAAAGTTTTTCTATTTTCTTTTACTGAAAAATCCCTATTGATTTACATTAGGTAGCTTTAAAAAAAACTTATTTTCTTATCCTACAATTTATAGTTTCTTTATAAAACATAAATGAAGACACTGAGGAATTTAGAGTGGCAGAAAAAAGAAAAGTATGATGAGGCAGAGAGAAGATGAGAGAACAAAGAGGAACAGAGAGACAAGAATAAAGGGCATAAAAAAAGGAATAAAATAGCACTGGGCAGCAGAGGACACAAGATAAAATGGATGCACCGTGCGAGTTTGTGCTGCTAATCCTTTTCCAGCTATGGTTACAGTACAAGGCGTCCTCTTCCAAACTGACTTAATGGTTTTCCTGTCACTTACATCTTCTTCTGAAAACGTTTATCAAAGAAACAAGGTTTGCATTTCCACTTCTCTCACTCATCTCAAAACTGCTTTTTCTTACACTGGCTGCTACTATTTCTTTGACTTTAGGGCCCCAGACCTTAGCTACCATGAAAACTATCCCCATTCTGTCGAACAAGTCAAGGAAGGAAAAAAGGTTTATTGTCGTCAATTTGGCTGCGCTCTTTAAACTTTGTTCATTTTAAATTATTTCATTTTTTTATTCATTTTTTATTTTATTTTTCATATTCTACTCAAGAAGTTATTCTTAGTGTAAGATTAGATTTCCAGTTATTTCCTTTTCTTCTTTGTATGAAAAATGTTATCAAAGTTAGTGATTGCTTTTGTCGCTTCAGCTTACATATAGCTTTTACAATTTTGCCTAATTAAAAAATCTGCCTAGAAGAGCTTAATTCCCAATAAGTTGTGTTCCAGAGGCTTAATAATTTCTAATTCAGCTTTGGAAGGTGGAATGCATTCTCCCTTAAAATAATCTTTTAACAAATTAAATATTGAAGTTATACTACCTATACTAAGCTCTGACAGTGAGTACACAAGAAAATATGCCCCGAGTTTCTCACTAGGCTATAAGCAATACAAAACTTTTCCTCCACCTACATCTAATGTACATTCTTTCTCTCTGTTTCTCCCTCAAACACACACACACACACACACACACACACACACACACACACACACACACACACACACACACTGCCCAAAAAGGTTTTTATCAACATTTTTTTTCCTAATGAAAATTATTTTTTTCCATTCTTGGGCGTAGTTCATTTGGAGATTGTATTTAAAAAGAAAATATCTCATGAAGATCAAGGCAAATGCTATTTACTTATAGATGGGAACCTGGGAGGGTCGAGATGGGAAGGAAGGAAGGAAGGAAGGAAGGAAGGAAGGAAAGAAGGAAGAAGGAAGGAAGGAAGGAAGGAAGGAAGGAAGGAAGGAAGGAAGAAAGGAGCTGTTTTATAATATCACCTGTTCAGTGAAGCTTGCACATAAACTTTGATACCTTTCCTTCCTTTGCTTTCTTGGCCTAGCCTACTGCAGGATAGAATGCAACCTTGAGAGTTCTCACCACACTGCTTATCTCTGAAACAAGCCCATAATCTTTTCAAAGGATCTGGCATCATTATTTATTATTATTATTATTATTATTATTATTAATTTATTCACCCCTTTAGCAACAATAAAAGAGTGACATAAGCTGAAAAAATTCTGTCATTCTTCTTATTTCACTTAAATAAGTGAATGTACAGAGCACCTTGCACATGCCTGATGCTGATGAAGAGTGCGAAGCTGAGTAAACTCAGTTCCTACAGGGCTACATGAATCATAATATCAGTTTGGGCCCACAATTTGTGATTGTGAGTCATCAGAATTTTCGAGTAGCACTCTTTCATAGTAGTGACAGTAACTGGCCTGTGTATTTTACAGAAGTTGGCGTGTGAGCTAGATTATGAAGCCTCATCTACATCTCTAAGGGACTAGAAGTAGAATGGAGGTGGAGATGATGCCAAGGAGATGAGCTGAGCCTGGAGTTATTTTCCCATTACACCTCATCAGGACCTGGATGAAAGGGGCCACCTAGGTCCTGCATTAGAACAGGAGAGAAAAGAGATCTGAGCTTGGCCTCGGAAAAAATCTAAGCTTATAAAAGTTGAAAGAACAGAAGAAAGAGGAAAAGAAACAAGCTTCAAGAGTAGGGAAGTGTGGGTAGTTCCAGAATACACTAGCAGTTGTGACCACTTCCAATTGCCAGTTCGTATATTAAAAATATAATCAGACATCCATAAAGCAGCTACCAGCTGTAGCCTAACATCATATTCCCTCTAAAACATTCATCTTATCTTGCTCAAGTTCCAGATTCCACCAAACGAACCCCAAGTGCAAACGAACATGTATAACTGTTGTGATTTTTGCCTCGGGAAGAGTACCTTAAAGAGGCAATGTATACAAACATCCTGAGTGCAAAAGCAGGGCAGTCTACAGAAGGTGTTAGAATAGTAAGAGTGAGTAGTTCTTTGTTTGGCCAAGATATTTTTTAATTAAAAAAGTGAGAATGTAAACCTTATTGCTTTCAGTAGGAGGACAGCTGGCGGGAGGCTGATTCAGCTGACATTGGTGTTTAAAGGAAATTGGCAGGAAATTCAGGCAGATGTGGTTTAAATACTTCCCTGAAAGGATTAGACTGAGTCATGAAAATACAAAATGGAGAGGCAGAGATTTTGTATCCAAATCCAAGTTCTGCCATTGACATGTTATTTGGGGTTTCATTCCATGAAGAAAGGAAGGAAAGCTGCATAATTTTGAGTGATGGTGCCAAGATCATAACATGCATCCTCGACTTATCATACTCACCTCTTTCTTAATCATTGCTGGAAACATTCCATGTGGCATTCCTTTGCAGGTAGTGGCAAAAATGCCAACATAAAAGAGTAACATCTAATAGTCATTCCAGAGATTAAAAGGTTTGTTTTTCTCCCTCTGCAGGGAAGATGGGGTGTGTAGGTTTGCATCAAAGAATTGAATAATATCCTAATTTTCACCTATTATTATTTCATGTGAAATAGCAAATGGCATCTACTTAAATAGCTTTCATACATTATATTTAAAAATAGACATTGCTAGAGGGACTTATTATGTTATGCTGTTGACATTTTCAAATGAAATGAATATTTTATAATTTCTCATTAAGATATCAAGGTAATATTTTCACATGTTTAATTTTGGGACCTTGTTTCATTGAAATAAATTAGGAAGGAAAGAAAGAGTAACAGTAGAAAATCGCATTAGGTTTTAAGATTTGCTTTTATTTAAATCAGAAAAGAAGTTCGACTATATCTCCATTTAAGAATAAGCATTTCCTCTAAATTGCTCCCCCAAATTTTCTTTATTATATTTTAAAATCTTGGAAGGGTCTAAACTTCATTTAAGAAAGGTGTAAGAAAAAACTGTTATCTAGATAAATATCATTATTTCATTCACATAATGTATTGATTGCTATCAATATGCATAATTAAAATTATTCTAATAAATCTTAATTTTAGCATTCTGATATACAGCCATATAAATGTGAAACCCAATCACAGAACACTATAACCTAGGAATGGACAATATATACTACTTATAAAAGAGAGTTTTGGAACTCAAAGTATATTTCCTTGTGGAAGCAACTACATATGACCATGACAAATTGTAAAAGCCATTTAAGTCATGATATGGCTGAACTACGGCACTAAAATATCTAATTACTAATATTGCTTATAAACAATACATTTAGAATTCTACTTCTGGGTTCTATATATACTGCTTATGAATATATTATTCCTATCCCCTGTCCATAACTGCAATAGTAGAAAGAAGAAAAGAGGGAATAAGACACTATACTCCAAAGAGAACTTGTAAAAAAAAGAAAAGAAGATTTGGCAAGAAAATAAATTCCTAATGGGGACATTTATAAGTTAGACTTTCTAAGTCAGGGACAGAAAACAGTCCTGACAGGGAACTCATTTTTTTTTTTTTTTCATAATATGGGAACTATTGGACAAGAAGGCCATTTTCAGACTAGTTAAAAAAAAAAAAAAGAACAATTAAAAAGCCTAATGACAAAAGCAATGTGCACTTTTACACAGCCTTGTAAAAATATTTTTCAAACCTGGTAATATAGGAATATAAACAAATTGATCTTTAAAATATGACTTTTACAATAAAATATATTTTGAAGCACAGTATGGAGACTTATGTTTCGAACTACCTCTGTAAGGGTCATTAAGATATTTTAACAGTGCAAGCTATGCCAAATAAAACTCTTAAAAAATAAAAATCCAAAAGTTTGACTAGGATTTCTGCTCTAAGGATAATAAGTTCTTAAATTGTTTCACTCACTAGTTTATTCTTTGATAAGACTTTAATTGTATTCAGTAGTTCTCAACTGGGGATGATTTTGCCCTGCCAGGGGACATTTAGCAATGTCTGAAGACTTTCTGGTTGTCAAAGTTGGGGAAGGTTACTAGTATCCAGTAGGTTATATAAGTTTCCTAAGGCTACCGTAACAAATTACCAGACATATGATGGCTTAAAACAACAGAATTTTATTGTCTCATAGTTTTGGAGGCTAGAAGCCTGAAATTAAGGTTGAGGGCTTTGCTCCTCTGAAGGATCTAGGGAAGAATCCTTCCTTGCCTCTCCCTAGCTTCTGTCAGGTGCCAGCAGTCTTGGTGTTCTTTGGCTTGTAGCTGCATCACTCCAGTCTCTTTGCTCTGTTTTTATATGATTCACCTTCCTTCTGTGTATGTGTGTCGCCATATCCAAATCTCCTTCTTTCTTTCATAGAGACTACAGTTATTGAGTTAAGGGTCTATCTCAATCTAGTATAACCTCATTTTACTTTGATTACATCTGCAAAGACTTTTACAGATACCAAGAGCGAGGAGGACGTGAACATTTCTTTTTGTGGGACACTGCTCACTCACTACATAGGTAAAGGCCAGGATGCTGCTAAACATCTTAAAATGACAGCCCCCCACAACAGAGAATTATCCAGCCTAAAACGTCAATAATGCCAAGATTGAGAAATCCTAATTTCAAAACAGGTACATCCTCATCAACTATGATTCTTCAACTTGATGATTTTTAATAATCTCCAATGACCTTGTGGTCCTGAGGTCCTGTTCTACATAGTTTAGGTGCAGATATTTTAAAGCATGGACATTTCTTGCAACCCTTCTTCGCCAGCCACATCTTCCTGTCAGGCTGCTATTTTGAGGACCTTTTACGAAGAAGCACCAATTGCTGAATGGGTTTTGAAATGCACACCAGGAAACCAGTTATAGCTATTAGCTCGCTCCAGACTCTCGGCTACTTCACAAAAGCATTTTAGGCTTCCAGATCAATCAAATAGTACACCTAAATTCCCTTTCAGGCACTCAGAACTATGTAATTATAAGGCTATAAAAAAAAGATTCTGTCTTGGGAGTAGATATACATTAATAATGATATAACAACAAACTTTAAAAATGCCAGAAAATGTAATTTTCAATTAAAAGAATAACATCATTTTTAAAGATAATATCTATTATTTCTAAAAATATTATTTGAGAGATCTTGTTATGT